GGGCTGGACGCTGCACCTCTCTGTTCGGGGCTGGACACTGCACCTCTCTGTTCGGGGGCTGGAGACGCTGCACCTCTCTGTTCGGGGGCTGGACGCTGCGCCTCTCTGTTCGGGGGCTGCACGCTGCGCCTCTCTGTCCGGGGGCTGCACGCTGCGCCTCTCTGTCCGGGGGCTGCACGCTTCACCTCTCTGCCCGGGGCTGGACGCTGCACCTCTCTGCCCGGGGGCTGGACGCTGCACCTCTCTGCCCGGGGGCTGGACGCTGCACCTCTCTGCCCAGGGGCTGGACGCTGCACCTCTCTGTTCGGGGGCTGGGGACGCTGCACCTCTCTGTTTGGGGGCTGGGGACCTCTCTGCCCGGGGGCTGGACGCACCTCTCTGTTCGGGGGCTGAACGCTTCACCTCTCTGTTCGGGGGCTGGGGACGCTGCACCTCTCTGTTCGGGGGCTGGACGCTGCGCCTCTCTGTTCGGGGGCTGCACGCTTCACCTCTCTGCCCGGGGGGCTGGACGCTGCACCTCTCTGCCCGGGGGCTGGACGCTGCACCTCTCTGTTCGGGGGCTGGACGCTGCGCCTCTCTGTTCGGGGGCTGGGGACGCTGCACCTCTCTGTTCGGGGGCTGGACGCTGCCCCTCTCTGTTCGGGGGCTGGACTGTGCGCCTCTCTGTTCGGGGGCTGGACGCTGCACCTTTCTGTCCGGGGGCTGGAAGCTGCACCTCTGTCCGGGGGCTGGACGCTGCGCCTCTCTGTTCGGGGGCTGGACGCTGCGCCTCTCTGTTTGGGGGCTGGACGCTGCACCTTTCTGTCCGGGGGCTGGAAGCTGCACCTCTGTCCGGGGGCTGGACGCTGCGCCTCTCTGTTTCGGGGGGCTGGACGCTGCGCCTCTCTGTTCGGGGGCTGGACGCTGCGCCTCTCTGTTCGGGTGGCTGGACGCTGCGCCTCTCTGTTCGGGGGCTGGACGCTGCGCCTCTCTGTTCGGGGGCTGGACGCTGCGCCTCTCTGTTCGGGGGCTGGACGCTGCGCCTCTCTGTACGGGGGCTGGACGCTGCACCTCTCTGTTCGGGGGCTGGATGCTGCACCTCTCTGTTTTGGGGGCTGGACGCTGCACCTTTCCCTCCCGGACGCACTATAGTGCCAGGAGGGATGCGGTGCAGCTGAATGACCCCGTGTACAAGGAGCCTAGGGGCCCATTCCCACCAGAAACTGCATGTCTTCTGTATTTTTTTTTTCATGCACATTTACATACATTGGATGCAGCTGAGTTGTGTTTTTTCCATTCGCATTTGTCCCGGGGGGTCACTTTCTTCTTTCTTTGGGTGTTTACGAGTACTGCGATGCATTGTGGTGCCTTTGCGCACATTTTCGGTGTGGAGAAATGCAGCGTGCTGTTCTTTTTTTTTTTTCCGCCGCACTGAGCTGTAATGGTGTGATCGATGCCCAGAGGATAACCTGGCCTTGTCTATGCAGCTGGAATACAGCCAGCCATGCATGCGTCTGGTGTGAATGAGCCCCACGCGTGTTCCCATTGCTGGGGGCACATTTTTTTCCATCATCTGAAGTGCCCGCCTTTATCATCCAGCCTGCGGCCCTCACTTCCCCCTCCAGTCATTGACACTCAGGTCTGATTCAGCGCCGGGGCTCTATCTGCACTTCCCTTCCTGCCTGAGTTCCCCTTCTTGTAGCACCAGATAACAGAGTGCAGATTGTGACACGGCTCAGGAGAGACGCGCCGCGCCGCGTGACGCCACCACGTGGCTCTGGGATAACCGATAGATCCCCCTATAGTGTTACTGGAGGGGGATGGGCTCGGTGTGCGCCGCGCAGCAGCCACAGATCACCATTATTTCATGACCATGACTTTGTCTCCCAATCATTTCACATCCATTGGGCTCATTACAAAGGAGAAATCTCATTGGTGTGAAATTATCTGCATATGAATGGATCGATGAACCATAGAAAGTGACCGGGCGCGACTTGCCATGCGATTTGTCATGCCATGCGACTTGCAGACCGCATGGCAAGTGGCACCCTATTGTCCGCAATTACAGCGGTCATATCGGGGCGATTCTGAATTGCTACAGGGTGGCGGGGGATCTGGAGTGCCGCACCGCAGACGACGTGTGAACCCGGGCTCAGAACTAGAGCGCTCCGATCATCGGACGGGATGAACAGCTGATTGGATAGCGCTAGCTCTGACTCAGCATGGGGGGGGGGGGGTGGCCAGACCTCTGCAGAGAGACCTCTGCTTCCACGCAGAGAACTGCAGCACGCTGGCAGGGGACAGACTTTTCTGCTCAGTCTGCAGAAAATGAACCGCAGGGCTTCGCACACTTTGCTGCTTCCGATGGAATCTTTGTGTCGGTGTGCCGATTGCTCATCACTCGTCTGTGACCCCCGCAGGATCGTCCTCCTCAGTGACCAGCACAGGACAAACATCGCTACTTCTGCTTTTTTTTTCTTTTTTTAAATAATGCCGTTGTGAGTGTTCAGCGTGTGCAGTTATTTTATCGCCCCCCCCTCGCCTGCCGGAGAGTCACTTCCCAAATTCCTTTGTATAAATTTACTCCCCTCCTGTTCTGCAACTTTCTCCCATATGCCCCCCCATTTCCTCCATCCCCCTCCCGTCTCGTTTCCTCTGTAACTATATACAGTGGCAGATCTGTGTGCTCTGTGGGGTAACCTGATTAGTAGCAGATGGAGCCCCTCACTGCCGCCAGGAATACCGCCCCCCCCCCATCACTTCTCTCTTTATAGGAGCACTGTGTGTGTATAGTATATGGTGGTCACCAGGGGTGGACTGACAACTCATGGGGCCCCTGTGCAATAGGGGATCATGGGGCCCCTGTGTCCTTGCCCAAACTCAAAAAAGTCTATGAAAAAGGTACCAGGGGCATCTCATGGGGCCCCCTACTGACCCCGGGCCCTCGGGCAGTGCCCGAGTTTCCAAATGGTCAGTCCGCCCCTGGTGGTCACGCAGCCCCCAACTAAATACAATGTCGTCTTCTATATAGAATTTTATATCACAATGTACATTTTTTATACAATTCCTAAAATTCCTTTTTTTTGTAAAAAAAAACATCCTTTTTGCAGCTCAGTGCTGCTGATCTTCCGCAACCTCTTTGCAGCCACTTCCTGTCTGCATGCACGCTCCCAGCACAGGGACTGCGCCGTGATCAGGACAGTGGTCACGTGATTGGGAAGGTTGTCCTGGTGCAGCGGCTGCATGGGCACAATTGCATTGTAAATTTTACATGCAGGCAGGGGAGGGGCACGCACAGCGTCTGCATTCCGATCCGTTCGCCCGCTCTTGCATGCGTGTCACATTTGGACGTGCGATGGTGTCGGTGCATCCGCTTCTCTGCACGCGGTTTCATGGTGGATTCACATGCAGGAGCTCCGGATGGAGGAGAGATCAGATTGCCCACCTGCATAAGACCTAAGACACCTGAGCTCCACGCTGACGCGTTTCACCCGTATTGAACTCTACTCTGCCCTCTCACATGTTTCACCAGTTATGAGCTCTGAATAAGCCCCCAGAGTGCTGCTCTTTGATGCATTTCGCCTGGATTGAGCTCTACAAATAAGCCACCCGAACGCCACCCTTTAACGCGTTTCACCCATTTTGGATTTTACTAATAAGCCACCTGAGCTCCGCCCTCTCACGTTTCACCTGTAATTAGCGCCCTGAATTCAGCCATCAGAGCTCTGCTATTCAATGCATCTACCCCGTATTAAGCTCTATGAATAAGCCGCTTGAACTCCGCCCCTTAACGCGTTTCACCCATATTGAATTATAATATGCCACCTGAAGCTCCGCCCCTTAACGCGTTTCACCTATATTGAATTATAATATGCCACCTGAACTCCGCCCCTTAACGCGTTTCACCTATATTGAATTATAATATGCCACCTGAGCTCCGCCCCTTAACGCGTTTCACCTATATTGAATTATAATATGACACCTGAGCTCCGCCCCTTAACGCGTTTCACCTATATTGAATTATAATAAGCCACCTGAGCTCCGCCCCTTAACGCGTTTCACCTATATTGAATTATAATATGCCACCTGAGCTCTGCTCTCTCACATGTTCCACCTGAAATGAGCTCTCTAAATAAGCCACCAGAGCTCTGCTCTTTAACGCATTTCGCCTGTATTGAGCTCCACTATTTGTCTTATTTAGACACCTGAACTCCGCCCTTTATCGCGTTTCACCCATATTGAATTCTAATAAGCCACCTAAGTTCTACCCTCTCACAAGTTTCACTTTCGCTGGGGAGGAAAGAGCCAGAGGATGCTGGGTGTCCTCCAGCTAGGAAATGAGGCGGAGCTTTGTCTGACATTCTGCAGCTTCTAATGCACATTGTGAGAAGCTCCCAGTGTGCAGTGAAATGAGAGGGAACCGGTACACCTGTGCCAGACTGGAGGGGAGGAGCTGGTACACCTGTGCAAGACTGAAGGGGGGGAGCCTGTACATCTGTGCAAGACTGAAGGGGAGGAGCCGGTACACCTGTGCAAGACTGAAGGGGAGGAGCCGGTACACCTGTGCAAGACTGGAGGGGAGGAGCCGGTACACCTGTGTAAGACTGAAAAGGAAGAGGTGGTACACCTGTGCATGACTGAAGGGGAGGAGCCAGTACACCTGTGCAAGCCTGGAGGGGAGGAGCCGGTACACCTGTGCATGACTGGAGGGGAGGAGCTGGTACACCTGTGCAAGACTGAAGGGGAGGAGCCGGTACACCTGTGCCAGACTGAAGGGAAGGAGCCAGTACACCTGTGCAAGACTGAGGGAAGCAGCTGGGGACCTGTGCCAGCCTGAAGGGGAGGAGCCAGTACACCTGTGCAAGCCTGAAGGGGAGGAGCCGGTACACCTGTGCCAGACTTAAGGGGAGGAGCTGGTACACCTGTGCCAGCCTGAAGGGGAGGAGCTGGTACACCTGTGCCAGCCTGAAGGGGAGGAGCTGGTACATCTGTGCAAGACTGGAGGGGAGGAGCCGGTACACCTGTGCAAGACTGAAGGGGAGGAGCCGGTACACCTGTGCAAGACTGAAGGGGAGGAGCTGGTACACCTGTACAAGACTGGAGGGGAGGAGCCGGTACACCTGTGCAAGACTGAAGGGGAGGAGCCGGTACACCTGTGCAAGACTGAAGGGGAGGAGCTGGTACACCTGTACAAGACTGGAGGGGAGGAACCGGCACCCCTGTACAAGACTGGAGGGGAGGAGCCTGTACACCTGTGCAAGACTGAAGGGGAGGAGCCAGTACACCTGTACATGACTGAAGGGGAGGAGCCAGTACACCTGTGCCAGACTGAAGGGGAGGAGCCAGTACACCTGTACAAGACTGGAGGGGAGGAGCCGGTACACCTGTACAAGACTGAAGGGGAGGAGCCGGTACACCTGTGCAAGACTGGAGGGGAGGAGCCGGTACACCTGTGCAAGACTGGAGGGGAGGCCGGAGGGAGGATTTACCATGTGGTTGCATTCTCCTCACTGAAGATTACAGGCCGGTTCATATCTGTGCATTTTACGTGTATTTTAGATGCATTGCGATTGAACTCTATATAACGTGCGTTTTCATGACGGCTCATCAAAGACGCAGCAAGCAGGAATGTTTTAGAAGCAACGCACATGGAAGATGTGATTGGGGCCCAAGGTGAAGAGCGAATCCCTGGGGAGCCAGCACCTGTGGTACACCTGTGCCAGCCTGAAGGGGAGGAGCTGGTACACCTGTACAAGACTGGAGGGGAGGAGCCGGTACACCTGTGCAAGACTGAAGGGGAGGAGCCGGTACACCTGTGCAAGACTGAAGGGGAGGAGCTGGTACACCTGTACAAGACTGGAGGGGAGGAACCGGCACCCCTGTACAAGACTGGAGGGGAGGAGCCTGTACACCTGTGCAAGACTGAAGGGGAGGAGCCAGTACACACCTGTACATGACTGAAGGGGAGGAGCCAGTACACCTGTGCCAGACTGAAGGGAGGAGCCAGTACACCTGTACAAGACTGGAGGGGAGGAGCCGGTACACCTGTACAAGACTGAAGGGGAGGAGCCGGTACACCTGTGCAAGACTGGAGGGGAGGAGCCGGTACACCTGTGCAAGACTGGAGGGGAGGCCGGAGGGAGGATTTTCCATGCGGTTGCATTCTCCTCACTGAAGATTACAGGCCGGTTCATATCTGTGCATTTTACGTGTATTTTAGATGCATTGCGATTGAACTCTATATAACGTGCGTTTTCATGACGGCTCATCAAAGACGCAGCAAGCAGGAATGTTTTAGAAGCAACGCACATGGAAGATGTGATTGGGGCCCAGGTGAAGAGCGAATCCCTGGGGAGCCAGCACCCAGTCCGGGGTGTCCCGGTCACATGTCAGTCCCTGCAGCCGAGCTCGGGGTCCTCTGACTCTCCATACAAAGTATCACTATCACAATATTCCGATCTCCGGGTGGATACATTGTATTCCTGGAAATGGTGTGACGCTATTTTCTGAATATCAGCTGGATGTGTTTTATTGTAAGTGTTACCACGGCAACATACCGCCAAAATGGAAAGCGGTTTTACAATAGCGCTTTGTTGTGAAGGAATGGGCAGTACGCCACATTCAGTGAGTGCTCAGCACGCCTGTGTGATCCTCACAATTCTCCTATAGGGAGCGTGGTGCGCAGATCTGTGCAGCTCAGCATGATGACGTCACATTCCCTCTATAGTGATATGTCTGCCACAGGGCGAGCCAGCATTTTATCATGACGATAGACCAGGGTATATATGGGGTATACAGTATATGGGGCATATATAGGGTATACAGGGTACATATTTATTTATTTTAGGTACTTCTATAGCGCCATCAGTTTACGCAGTGCCTTATATATATATATATATATTTGTATATTGTACATTCACATCAGTCCCTAACCCTCAAGGGGCATACAATCTAAGGTCCCTAACCCTCAAGGGGTGTACAATCTAAGGTCCCTAACCCTCAAGGGGCGTACAATCTAAGGTCCCTAACCCTCAAGGGGCGTACAATCTAAGGTCCCTAACTTACATTCATACATACACATACTAGGGACAATGTAGACAGGACTCAGGTCACCTCCTAGCATGTCTTTGGAGTGTGGGAAGAAACTAGAGTACCTGGAGGAAACCCACACAGGCACAGGGAGAACATGCAAACTCCAGGCAGGTGGTGCCGTGGTTGGGATTTGAACCGATGACTCGAGCACTGCCAGGCGGAAGTGCTAAACATTTAGCCACTCTGCTGCCCATGCCATATGGTACATATGGGGTATATATAGGCTATACAGTATATGGGGTATATATAGGTGTGCAGTATATGGAGTATATATAAGATGTGCAGTATATGGAGTATATATAAGGTGTGCAGTATATGGAGTATATATAAGGTGTGCAGTATATGATGTATATATAGAGCATACAGTATATGGGGTATGCATTGGGTATATATAGGATATATATTGGGTATATATAGCATATACAGTATATGGGGTAAATATAGGATATGTATGGGGCATATATACGGTATACAGTATATGTGGTATTTATGGGGTATATGTGGGGTATGTATAGGGTATACAGGGCATGGGGTGTATATATAGGATATATATTATGTATATATAGGGTATACAGTATATGGGGTATATATGAGGTGTATATATAGGGTGTGCAGTATATGGGGTATATATACAGCATACAGTATACGGGGTATACATAGGATATATATTGGGTATACAGTATATCGGGTATACATATGATATGTATGGGGCATATATAGGGTATACAGTATATGTGTTATTTATGGGGTATGTATAGGGTATACAGTGTATGGGATGTATATATAGGATATATATAGGGTATACAGTATATGGGGGTACATATAGTATATGTATTAGGTATATATCGGGTATACAATGTAAGGAGTATATACGGGGTATGTATTGGTTATATGGGACATATATGGGGTATATATAGGTTATAAAGTGTATAGAGTGTATATGTGGTGTATATTGGGTATTCAGTATATGGGATATAAATGGAGTATATAGAGGGTATACAGTATATGAGGTGTATATAGGGTATAGATCTTGGCCATTTTAAGGCAGATAGATAGGCAAGGGTCATTTCCTACCAAAAAGGACATTTGGCAGACTGATTTCTACTCAATCTGCATACAACAAAACCATTTTCCATGCATAACTGCAGACATTTTCCTGCGTGCTGTGCTAGTATTATTAAAGCTGAACTCCAGGCATTAAAAGTTTTATTTATTTAAATATATTCCTCATTAGCCACAAAGGATATAAATCCACAGTGTGTGTGTACCAAATGTCTTTGCAAACCCATATATTACTTTGTAAAAGTGGCAGTAACATCACCATTGTGCTTTACATACTGTACAGAGAGCAGTGGGTGATACTGTTAGAGGTCAGGGACAGTATAAGGAGGCTGGAGGCTCTGCAGGAAAGGGGGGGGGTGGGGTGGGCTGTTGGGGGCAAAGGGGCTGTGGTGCCTTATGGATGGTGGGTGGCACTGTGGGAGGTTGGGGGCACAGTGAGGGGTTGAGGGGCACTGTGGTGCCTTATGGATGGCTGGGTGGCACTAGGGGCAGTGAGGGGCTGTGTGATGCCTTATGGATGGCTGGGTGACACTGTGGGAGGCTGGGGGGCACAGTGAGGGGTTGAGGGGCACTGTGGTGCCTTATGGATGGCTGGGTGGCACTGTGGGATGGGGCACAGTGAGGGCTTGAGGGGCACTGTGGTGCCTTATGGATGGCTGGGTGGCACTGTGGGGGGTTGGGGGCACAGTGAGGGGTTGAGGGGCACTGTGGTGCCTTATGGATGGCTGGTGGCACTGTGGGGGGTTGGGGGCACAGTGAGGGGTTGAGGGGCACTGTGGTGCCTTATGGATGGCTGGGTGGCACTGTGGGAGGTTGGGGGCACAGTGGGGCTTGAGGGGCACTGTGGTGCCTTATGGATGGCTGGGTGACACTGTGGGAGGCTGGGGGCACAGTGAGGGGTTGAGGGGCACTGTGGTGCCTTATGGATGGCTGGGGGCACTGTGGGAGGCTGGGGGCACAGTGAGGGCTTGAGGGGCACTGTGGTGCCTTATGGATGGCTGGGTGGCACTGTGGGGGGTTGGGGGCACAGTGAGGGGTTGAGGGGCACTGTGGTGCCTTATGGATGGCTGGGTGGCACTGTGGGGGGTTGGGGGCACAGTGAGGGGTTGAGGGGCACTGTGGTGCCTTATGGATGGCTGGGTGGCACTGTGGGAGGTTGGGGGCACAGTGAGGGGTTGAGGGGCACTGCGGTGCCTTATGGATGGCTGGGTGGCACTGTGGGAGGCTGGGGGCACAGTGAGGGGGGCTGAGGGGCACTGCGGTGCCTTATGGATGGCTGGGTGGCACTGTGGGGGGTTGGGGGCACAGTGAGGGGTTGAGGGGCACTGTGGTGCCTTATGGATGGCTGGGTGGCACTGTGGGAGGTTGGGGGCACAGTGAGGGGCTGAGGGGCACCGTGGTGCCTTATGTATGGCTGAGTGGCATTACTAAAGCTGGTAGGCACTGTGGGAGGTTAGGGGATCCATGGCTGCCTGGAGGCCCAGTAGGATGGAAGCCACGGCCCGGCAGCCATCCATGTCCCAGTGATTGAGAACCACTGCACTACAGGATTCTACATCTGGCTGGCTCCTGTGGTTTGTCCACCGCGGCATTACAAGACTCTCATTTTATTGGCTCGCTTTCCTTCTTTCCTCAGAGTCAGTTTTATCCCTTGTAATTCTCCAGATGTATCCCTGACCCTTAACTGGTGAGGAACAGATTGCCGTCTGCTCTATAATAGAATGTAATGGCCTCTGTCATCCTCGTCCATATGGCTCCCCTTTCACAGCTATGCTGTAATTTGAGACGAGGTGTCACTTTTCCCAGATTATGGGGATGAAGGACAGCAACTGGAGGAAATTATAAGTAGTGAGACTATTCTATCTCCAGGGCCTTTGGTTGGTACAGCTAACCCCTCCATGCAGCAATCTATAAAGGTCTAGAGGGAGAATTGGGGATCAGTAAAAGATAAGATTCAGTAATAGACAATTTTTACTTATCCCAGAGTTCAGTGAAGGAAAAGTGCCGAGCTTCAGACACACTGTGCAATTTAAACTCCAAAGCCAGCTTCTTTCTTCTCTCTGTACCATTCGAGTTTTTAGAAGATTGGGCTGGCCTCAGTCAGTAATTATTTAGTGAACCATCAGGCCTGTTATATCCTGGAAGATCCTGATTGAAGTCTCTGTGATAAATCTCAGTTTTATCCTGCGTTCTGTCATGACACCGATCTCCTGAAGTCTGGAGTCTTCTATCCCAAGCTCTTTCATGACACGGATGTCTGAAGTCTGGAGTCTTCTATTCTGAGTTCCCTCATGACACGGATCTCCTGAAGTCTGGAGTCTTTTATTCAGAGTTCTCTCATGACTGGGTTCTTCTGAAGTCTGGAGTCTTCTACTCCGAGTTCTCTGATGACTGGGCTCTCCTGAAGTCTGGAGTCTTCTACTCCGAGTTCTCTTGTGACTGGGTTCTCCTGAGATCTGGAGTCTTCTACTCCGAGTTCTCTGATGACTGGGTTCTCCTGAAGTCTGGAGTCTTCTATTCCGAGTTCTTTCATGACTGGGTTCTCCTGAAGTCTGGAGTCTTCTATTCCGAGTTCTCTGATGACTGGGTTCTCCTGAAGTCTTCTACTCTGAGTTCTGTCATGGCTGGGTTCTCCTGAAGTCTGGAGTCTTCTACTCCGAGTTCTCTCATGACTGGGTTGTCCTAAAGTCTGGAGTCTTCTAT